TACACCCCAGACTGCGAACCCTGAACCGTAGACTCCGAACCTAACCCCTTAACCTTCAACCCTCAGCCCGCAACCCTTAGCCCGAAACCCCCAGACCTAAACTGTAAACCCAGGAACCCTGAGCTATCAACCCTAGATCCCAAACCTCAAACTCTAGACCGTAAACTCTAAACTCTGAATCCTCAACCCTAAACCCTCAACCGTAAACTCTAAACCCATACTCCTCAACCCTAAACTGTAAACCCCAAATCCCCGAGTAAACCCTTAATTCCAAACCCTAAACTGTAACCCTAAGCCCTACCTGGACCCCAAAAGTATGTAGAATAATGGCCCTTTGGGCTATCATTATGGGTTTAGGGCTGTTATTTTACATACTTTTGGGGTTTAGGTAAACCCTATAATCAATCCTAACAATCCTAAACCCCCAAACTCGAGGCCGCCTTCTCTTCTTTGGCCTGCTCCAAGGGAGATGGCCCTTGCTGAGTCACATGTGGAACCATCAGCCCCATGAAAATGGGTTTAGAGTTTAGGGTTTAGTGTTTAGGGTCTAGGGTTCAAGGCTTAGGGTCAAGGGTTGAGGATTCAGGGTCTAGGGGTAGGGGTATTTTAAGGGGCCGACGAAACTATTTGTGAGCAGTTCCACTTACTTTTAGAAGAGTAAAGGAACTTAAGACATATCTCAAATTTCCACCTGGTCAAGGCGTCAGTTTGGGGTTACAGGGCTTAGGGCTGATGAGGTACTAGGGGAACAAATGGAACGAACAAGTCAAGAGAGAGGGAGGCGTACATCTTGCTGTGCTTTTGACGCTGAATCTCTCTATGCAGAGCAGGTTCGGAAGGTATGGCCTGGATGTGAGGAGGTTTTGTTCACGGACCTGGGAACCCCTGTTTTGAGAAATGTCTTGTTCTAGTGATGAGCAGGTACTTGCTCTAGTATTGCAGTGTTGCTTTGCACCGAGCTTCGGGCACGTTCACTGGCTTCCCTGTCAGCATTTGACTATGTAAAAAACTGATGCTACGGCTGATACTAAACATCAACATGACACTAAGCACGCCAAAGCCTAGGAATTATGATAGTTTGAGGTATTTAGGTCATGCAGGATTTATGCTTTTCTGTATATATTTTCCAATGACTTCGGAAGTACAGTGATAATCCCTATAAGCCATATAGCAACCGGGGTTATCCCCTTTATCAAGCTCCTCACTAGTTCCCTGAATCCTCCAGGTAAGACCAGTCATAAGCAAACACCGCAATGGCCAAGTTCCAGGCCGAGTCTTGTCGAGCCCATGCTGAAAAGCACACTGGAGGCCCAAAGGCCACGATCCTATACACCTAGCAGACACACCCTCAACCCTTAACTTAGGGATCACCCCTAGTCTCCAAGCCCTATAGTGAAAAAACGAACTACCAATTTGTTCAAACATAACTTATGTGGCATTGCAGGAATTTTCAACGCGGCTACCAGAACTTTTATGGGTACTTTGCTTCTCACTGCATCGGAAGGAGCCTAAATGGCTGCTGGAACGGCCAGGGATCTTGGGACGACTCTCATGCTACAGCTCCTTTTGTGAAAGCCTCGGACACCCAGGATGGGCATTTGAGGGGACAGAAGGGACATGTCCCTAAACCCTAAACCCTATAACCGCGCGTGTTTCTTGGGGGGGTCCTACCGCTTGTTCACAAGCAGGAAGCCTCGCCCAAAAAAAAGCATCGAACCTTACATAGGTAGGGTACAAAACAATAACTTGCTGGGGCTCTCTTTCAGGTTCCACATGTTCACATGAACATTTCTCAAAGCAGTTCCTATGTCATCCTGCTTTGGGGTGTCCTCCTCCCTACACTTAGATGAAACCCTAAATTCCTATTTGTTGATACACGCCCGGCTTCAGGGTGCACGAAGTACTAAAAACTCGAAGTACAAGCTCTTTAGATGCCCTAAAGGTAATATAGTCTAGCACAACTACCGGGAGCGGAGTACCCCACAATATGACCAGTACATATGCCCACCCCACCCTGCATGGCCCTCATATCCCCACTTAGATATTCCCCCTTGCCTCCCTCTCCCCTGCAGCGGCCGTGTACACCGGGATTTCACCAAAAAAAAAAGGGACACGCTGCGTACCACCCCAAGGCTCTAAGAATTATATGAGCCATAGTCTCAACTCCTAGTATCCCCCTTAATAACCCCTATAGTAGTCCCCCATATAATCCTCTATATAGTCCCCCTTTAAGTAGTTCAGACTATAGCTCAGAAAAGGGGATCCAAGAACGCTTGCTTAAGAATGGTTGTTTTGCGGAACTCCCATGTGAGCCATGCCTCAACTTACTGTTGGCTTGTAGGAAATGGGAGGTATACATCCCCATAATACTACCTACATAGTCCACTATGCGGCTCCCTATAGCCCTTTCAGGAAACTTTCCACAAGCCCTATACCCCAAACTACAAACCATCAATACATTAAGGAAGCGTTTCTGCTGTAGATTCCCAGGGCCCTGAATTTAGGACAGACCGCCCAAGAAGGATACCACAGCAGAATTATAAGGAAACCCAGCTGTTCTTTCAGGGTCTATCCTCTCGGGGTCCTGGGGGTCAGGGAAACCTTCAACCTTAAAAACCTACAACCGAAGCCCGAACAAAAAACTTAACCCTAAGTCCTAATCGCACTGAAACCCTAAAACCTGAAGCCTGAAACCTGAAGCCTAGAATCCTCCGTAAGCCCTAAACCCCAAGCCATATAAACCATGGAACCCTGAACCCCTCCCTGGCGATCTACTTGATTTTATCTCACAGCTTCGCCGCCCCTCGCCGGCGGCGGCGGAGGCGGAGGGGGAATCAATGGCTCTGGCAAGGCCTCGCGCGCGCTTCGGGTTTAGGCTCTTAGGGTTCAGGGTTTGGTGTTTAACCTCTAGGCTGCGTTGTAGAGCTTATGGTTTGTGATTCAGGTGGCTCACGTGATTTACAGTTCAGACCCTGACTGTTGTTTCAACTTTCATTACGATGAACCCCAATCCTAAGAGCTTACACGAATTTGGCGCGTTGCAGTGCAAATAGAGACAAGGTTTAGGCTTCAGGTTTGGGGATTTAGGTGTCTCGGGCGTAGGGCTTACAACCTTGGCTACATCTATTTCACGTTTAACCTGGATCCTCGGTGTCAGTGTCTCTGATTTGGGGGGGGAGGGCATCTCATCTCATAACCGTGGGGCATAGAAGTCACATGGAAGAGGGGATCACGTTTTACTGACGTTAGTTACAAGAGTTCCAACAAAAGCAGGAGCTCGCCCCAAGCAACTCCTCCACATTTCTCTACATGTCCAGAAGGGGAAAGTCAACAGTGTCTACACCGAAGTGAGGAGCCTGCTACAATGCAAGGTGGTCCGTGGTCAAAGAGTGTGGGATGTATTGGAGCGGCCCCACTGTGGATGATCTTGTGCAAGCGTTGTTGTTGGTTTGCCCTGGAAGGTCTTTGGGTTAGGATGTAGGTGCGCGGGTTCAGGGCTCGGGCCAGGTATGGAAGAAGCCCTAGAACCTGATGAGGGGCTATTCAACTTAACAGCTCAAACGCTGACCTAGACCGGAAGCGTGTAGAATAGTTGCCTTTATGGCGGTTTTAAGGGTTTGGGGGTCGTTATTTACCTAGGAACCCGTATTTTTTTTTTTTGCTGTTCGGTCTC